GAAAAGGGGTGCTATTTATAGTAGCAATAAATGCCGGACAGGGACACGCGTCAAGCGCCCATTGGCCGAGAGGTCACCTCAACTGGTTGGCGCTGGCAGCCGCATGTGGCCGCATTTAATGCGGCTGTTGGATGTGACGTCGTACTTGGTACGGTGATTCAGGCGCAAGTGGAGAAGAGATCCTGTCGTTTGAGGTGCCTCCGGCTGAAAGTGACAGGCCGAAGGCTTCATAACCCGAGGGCACCCCTAATGCCGAGGGCTCCAGATGCCGAGGGCTACTATTTTCGTCGTTTTCTCCCAGTTCCTCTGTTTGTTCGAAATATCCATGCTTTGATAGTTTGGAGCCCTCGGTCAGGGGGCCGAGGGCACCCCAGTGTGCCTTGAGGGTTGATTTGTGCTTGGGGCGTTATAATTTTGGGCCTGCAATGCTTCTTGGGCTTGTTGGGCCTTTGTTGGAGTAGTGGGAGTCTGTGGGCCGGGGGTTCCCGGGCCATATACTCCATTATGTAGCCTAAATGAGTAAAAAGGGACGACGAAAATCATGTAGGTACAGTAAAAGATCTAAAAGAGTCAATTTGACAATACTCAAGAGATTGAATATGGAAAATGTTGAAGTAAGAGACCTAACATCTCTCTCGCACAATAAACGAAGGAATAAAAATGAAAAAACATTAAAAAATGAGTACCAAATGTGTCACTAACATATTACTTAGGCATGGACTCGGGCCTGGCCTAGGCCCGGCCGAGCCGCTTTTTGTAAGTGATGGGCCTGGGACCGGCCCGAGGTCTGGACGGTTCCGGTTCGGGCCAGGCCGGTTAAATCCAATTTTTTTTAATAATTTATACTTTATAGTTTTACTAGACAATGAACCCGTGCGTTGCACGGGAAAAATCAACTCACATTATTCAAATAAAAAAGAGATTGAATGAATATTGTATACTACCTTCGGCCCGGGTAACGTTTCAGTTGCGTTTACGATATTTGACAGGTCATAAACTTAAGTGATCCTTGTTAATAATGAAATTATTTTTAGCAAATAAAATTTATATATTCAAAAATTACTTTAAAAGTCTTGTAAAGTCGCAAAAATTCAAATTTGATAAAAAAAATGGATACATAAAGAAAAAGGTTAAGAAAAATTTACATTAGTTTTTATCTTATGAGAGAATGAACTTTCATGAGTGTTTTCTAGAGGGTCAGCAAACCGGTTCGGTTTGAGTAAACCAAATTGTACCAAATTGAACCGAAATCAAATCATACGCAATTTCGTTTGAATTTAGTGGTATGTGGTTCAAATCAAATTAAATCAAACTAAAACTAATTGAGACCGTGAGAAATTAAATAAGGTCGAGCTGAACTCAATTAGTCAATGAATTTTTAATATGTTTTTAAACATAACAAATTCAAATTGTAACGAAGTGATTTAATCCGAACTAAACCAAAACATAGTATGATTCCGATCTGTTTCAAACCGAATCGAATTGATATTAAAACCAAATTGAAACCAATGTGCTCACCCTAGTATTTTTTGATATAAATTTGTTACTCAATGAGTTCTGTTTTATAAGAGAAATAACATTTTTAGACTAAAAAGTATGTTTTTTTAAATGGGAAAGTTCCCGAAATAGGACTGTCATTTTTTTAATTCCCAAAATAGGACTAATTACTGCCATATTTGGAAAATACTGGCATGTTTGAAGTCTGGTACTGCCAAAACATGACAGTAATTAGTCCTATTTTGGGAATAAAAACATGATAGTCCTATTTTGGAATTTTCAAACTGTTTTAGTCCTATTTTAGGTAATATCTCTTTTTAAATTGAGGAAACTAATTTTTTACTTTTTATGTTGTTCTTGTATCTACATCTTTGTAAATTCTGGCTGGTTTTTTATATCCATTGATTCTATAAATTATAAAGATGAGATATTCTATGTACGTAATTACAGATTTGAATAATTTTCTAGAATTGTAATTGGATTCAAGTAATTATGGACGATGATAATGAACTCCTTAATTTGTTCAAATTTTATGTGTATTTACCCTTGTGATCGCATGCATGTGGTACGACAATATATATGGTCCATAAAACGCATATCTTCATTATAATTCAAGTAAATTTAACGTTGGTCGAAAATTGTTCATCCCAAAAAGTCAATTTTCTTGTAGCGGATTGAATTGTATGCCTATTTTGATTAAATTATTATAAAATTGATATACTAAGTTATTGTAGCTCAATTTCAGTAAAAAAGTTACTATACCTCGATCATTTAGGTCTCATGCGTTGGTCAAGCATGCATCTCACATTCAAGCATCTCCTTTAGTATTATGCATTGCTTACCATATATAATAAATAACTCAATTTAATGTTATGACTTGAAAAATGATTTAATGCGGAAATAGGCGTGAATGATTGGAGAAATCCATTTGTCCACCCAATTCCTTTATATAAAGATAAAGATATAAAGATAACTTAATTTAATGTTATGACTTGAGGAATGATTCAATGCGGGAATAGGCGGGAATAATTGGAGAAATCCAATTGTCCATCCAATTCCTTTATATTATATAAAGATAAATAAATATTAATTGTGTGTCTTGATGGATCAAACAACTCAATTGCAAAATTAATTGAGCACCACAATTGCTTTAGGAGGAAAAATTGCAAAATCAATTGGTCACCCAATTGCTTTATATAATATAAAGATACAAGTATTAAAAACAAACTTCAAGTGCATTTATTTGAAATGAAATGTGAATTACATTTGACAAGTTACATTTGAGAATTGAAGGTAATATTAAAACATGAAATACTAATCAATCAGAATCTCCGTAATAGGTAGAGCCACCCTCGGTTGTAGATTCATCCATAAAGTGTTGGGATGGGGTGATGTCAATTTCTTGAGCTCTACGGGCCGCCTTCAACCAATCGTGGTAGCATATAAGCATCTCAAGAGATTCTGCGCTCAACCTCGTTCTACATTGCGTTAGGACATTGCCGGCCGAACTAAATTCTTGTTCCACGGCAATTTTTGAAACCGACATTGATAGCACTTGCTTAGCCATCTTTGCTAAAACCGGGAACATTCTTTCTTTTCCTTTCCACCAGTTTAGAACGTCAAAATCATCATCTTCTTCAAAATCAGTCGGGTGGCCGGGTCACGGGCCGGGTGGCCCGAACCGAATCCATCCCTAATATTACTCTGGGATTAAAAGTGGCAAAACCTCTTACTATATTTCGAATAGATGTCAGTACGTAGTACACCCTCCATCCCATTTTATTTGTCTTACTTTTTTTAAGTTTTCTGAAACAAGTGTCCTGTTTTCTTTTGTGGAAAAAAATTTGTAGTCTCATGAGTCATGACATTTCACTTTAATATATTCAAATCTCAACTACAACCTTTACTTTTCAACAACTTTATTAACAATTGTATCAACTCAAAACAGGACACATAAAATGGGAGGAAGATAATATTATTTTAGTATTTGGGAACTTTCTAAAATAGAAGTAAAAGCTACTTCGTATTAGATTTTCCTAAATGTGGTTTAACATCTTTTTTTATCTCTAGTAGTATTAAGTACTCTAATTCTATGATTATATTAGGGGTTTCACATAAATAATATTAAAAGAAAAGATACAAATTAGCTAGAACTAAAACTGATTTTAAAAATTCCAAAATAGTGCTAACATTATTTTCATACTCGATGTGATTGATGGACCAACAGCTAAGGCGACTCCGACATTGCACTGATCACCGGCAATAGTGGCTCCAACACTCTAATGACCAATAGTATGGTGACTTTAGCCCCCTAATCACAGCCCATTGACTCTAGTGCCTCAATGACCTGCTAGGGATAGCAACAGGGCGGATCGGGAACGGTTTTACATATAACCGTACCCACCTCGTTAGATAATTCCCCCGCCCCGTAACCGCCCCATTACCCAACGAGTAACTTTTACCCAAACCATAACACCACCCCAATAGGTAACGGATATAATCGCGGGTAACCACAAGTAATCGATTTATTATATGAGTCATTATTATTTTAATATATAAATAATTTTTAAAAGGTGAAAAATGACATCACCTAAACAACTCTAGACTCATACGCCACTTAAGTTTCATATATCTACAAGACAAGAAAGAAGGCTAACATAAATTATTTTGAACCTAAAAATACTTAATATGAAAAATAATTAATCACCAAAAAATCTGATAATAATCAAACAAGACTATTAAGATCTATTGTAAACTTTCATTCATACACTATAGTTAGTCATCTATTATCCATATATACACAAAATAGAGAAATCTTATCTTTTTGTAGTTGTGGGACAAATAATAGATAAAAAATGTAATAAAAATATAGTCAAAAATAAACGGGGCGGGTTAGGGATGGACTCGGGCCGGGTGGCCCGACCCGGAACCGGCCCGGGACCGGTACTGTTCCGACCCGGCCCGAACCGGTGGCCCGGTCAGTGACCGGTCCGGGTAGGCCCGACCCGGTGGGTTTCCGATCCGGGCTCGGGTCACCCATAACAAGGCCCGGCCCGGCCGGGCCCGGGCCCGTTTCAGGCCAAATTTATTTATTTTTTTGGTTTTTTTCATTTGTTTGGGCTCCACCGGGTTGGGCTTGATGTTTAGGAGGGGTTTGGGGGTGGGGGGTGAGGGGGGGGGGGTTCAGGGATGGGTAGCTAAGCAAAAAAAAAAATTAACCAAACCCGAGGCCCGGCCCGGCCCGGACCCGGTGGCTACCCGGGCCGGTCCCGGGTCCAGCTATATAGAACCGCCGGCCCGACCGGGCCCGACCCGGCCCGAGTCCAACCCTAGGGCGGGTAATGCCGTAATGGGGCGGGCATGTATAAAACTGTAACTGCCCCGTCACCCGTAAAATCAAAACGGGTATTTCCCGCCCCATACCTGTTACCCGGTCAATGCGGTTTTCCCCATTTTGACCGGGGCGGTTCGGTGCGAGTATCCATCAGATCAGTCACAATTGCCAACAATTGCCATCTCTAAACCCTGCTATTCCAATGACCAATAAAACGGACAGGCTAACAGAAGAAATAAAGTATGTGGTAAATGTATGCAAAGTACGATAGTCTCTCGTTTTAAATTAGACAGGCTAACAGAAGAAATAAATAAATAAACAATACGGAGTAATAGTTGACAAATCAAAAGTCAAGAGTAGCGCCTGTTTCCCTCAGCAGAAGCAACGTTACCAAAAAAATGAACATGCTTCATGGAATTTTATCAAAGGGCCTCGTATCATTGTAACATATATCCCAGACCACTTGCATGGCATCCTTAGCAGCAGTTTCTGAACAATAAGGGTTAGATTTCACGGACTTCAATGCCCTTCGCCGAACACAGTCTTGCTCATGACCACCTATCTTTAAGTAACCTCGCAGCAACTCCCGCTTAAAATTGCAGTCACCACTGAGATGGTTAGCTCTAATCTCACTGCACATGTGATGGGCACAGTCAGCCCAGTTCAAATTTGCTGTTTGGCATTCATCATACGCGTGGATAAGTTCATGTAGGATAACTTGGGTTACCTCATCTTGTAAGCTCAAATGGTTGCTGCATATTACTATCCCTTTGCCTTGAAGATAACCCCCACTAACCATAGCATCACATTGATTGGCCTTTATGAAATCACTACTGATTTCACAACCAGCTTTCTTCATATGATCCATCAGAAACCTAACCTTCGGTGTTCGGAGACTCCTTTGGATCATCTTTTGGCAATCATCCACTGTCATTCCATCCTTAGATGATGAGGAACCATCAGATGCAAAACTGCCACTACGAGTTCCATCCTCCATTTTCTTAATTCCTTCCTTAGTGCAAGACGCTATCGGAACACACTTCAGATTACTCCATCTCTTCAATGAGTAGATTACAAACTAAATGGGAAAAAGAGTTTTTTTAGTGCATTCGTGCATACTTGGTCTAATAATCCAATCCAATAATTTAAAAGCCAAAAACGTCTTCTTAGAAACAAACTTTTTAAAACATCTCGGTGATAGAAGATGTTAAACGCTATCATAATCCTCTGTTCTTTTTGGTTGCTCTGTGTTCTTTTTTAAGAAATTTTATCAATCCTTGTTCCATTTCTATTTTTGGCAAGTACCAACTTACTTTTCCGTGTTCTCTTTTAACAATTTTTCATTTACTCTATCAAACTCTTTTAATTCTCTCTAGCCTAATCACCACCCTACAGCTTTTCTTATTACAGAGAAAATTCTGGGTGCAACGAAAAAAGCTTGGGGGTACACAAATATTTTATCAAAATATATCAAATTGGAGCCTGTAAACATAAACACATGTTGCCCCTTAGTTTCTCCATAAAGAGGTTTTATAAAGCCCTATTTGTGAAATTATAGAAGCTTCATCATAAGCTCCAAAAAAGTGCAGGACCAGTGGACAACTGCAACTGTACGTGAACTGTGCCGAAAGAATGTACTGTATTAATACAAGAGTATTTAACCATTAATAGAATGTCAAACTAAGTAATGAAAATGCTACAAAATCTCGTCCACCGAGATTTCTTCTTACTCAGACAAACTAATCATGATTATCCTCATGGACCACACGGTCCTCACCTAGTCTACTAGTCATGAAGCCTTGGCTGCTGACTCCCTACTGCCTAGATATTTTTACAACATTGATTGCTCATATAAAAGAAACTTAAGTGAAAAAGAAATTTTGATGACTTCCATTTTAGAATAAGAGTGAATTTGTCATTTCACAAAATAGCAAAACCTCAAACCATCAACAAATATGAACAAGGATCGGTATACTTATACACAATGTCACTTGCAGGGACAATATGCAAATATACATCCAAACACTTGACATACTCGTAAATCCAAGGCATCTATTAAAGCTAAAACTATGAAGCTAAGTTGCACAGAGACGTGGGAACCATGGGGAAATGTGAAACAGGAAATGCCATATTTTTTTAGAAAAACAACTATTTCGAGAGTTTCCGAAATGGAAACGTACTCCTTCCCGAGAGTTTCCGTAATACATAGCTATGAAGCACCAACACGGCAGACCTAGGACCAGATACAAGATGAAAAAGCTTAGACATGGCAAGGGGCGTAGCCAGGACAAAACTAAAAAATATGTAAAAATGTAAACGAGTAAACAGTTCGAACATAATGATTAAAATCCATTAAAATCCATATAACAATATTTTTAGACAATACATACTGAGTATAAACGACTAACTTTTAAATTTTCCCTGATCCCGCTCAATTTCCATGGCATCAGAAATAAATTCCTCTTGAACAGATAAATACTTGGATTATCAATCAAGTCATTTAACTCTTGTCTATTTTCTTGACTTGTAGTAGACTCAAAAACGAATTCAATGTTGTTTATGCCAATTTAGAAATAGTTTGTGTAGTAATACCTACTTCAATTGAAAAAAAATAATGAAATCATCAACATATTATTTTCAATCGCACGATTGATATTAATATGTTATTATGTTAAGAAACTTGCAATCCCTGATTTTCAATTTAAAATTAAAAACACACAAGTAACAATTCACCACTAACATATTTATAAATGAATAAAATAATCCTGAAGTTATAAATTAATAAATTTGCAAAACCATACCTGACTCGCTAAAAGTAAGAGGATAGCCAGCGAGAGTCGATTGAGGTTGCCGATTGGGACACTGGTTGACTGGCAGGGAAACAGGCGAGGGCCGCAGTGGGACTCTTGGGCCGCGGGCGATACCGCAGACGCCCGACGCGGTCAGATTTTCAGCTGGGCCGCCTGGGCGAGTAGGCGGGCTTCCGGGAAGACGCAGGCGGCGTACAACTGGGACAGCGGGTGACGGTAGACGTGGCGAGTGGCTTCTCGCGTTCGGCCGTACTATGCAACTTGCACCGGGAAGAAGCAGAAGACCTTTAAGGCGTCTCCGGATTTGGACTTTTGTATTTGGGTGTCAGCACATACACTGGGCCAGATTACGTTTGGACCGGACGCATCCTCAGATTGGACTATGGGCGGTGCATTAACCGTGTTGGACCGTATTTTAGATCTGAAACCGGACCGGAATGAATCGCTCTGGATCGGACCGGTATTAACTGGTCCAGGTTTCGGTCCTTACTTTCTCAAAATTCCGGATTCCGGTCCGGGTCAAACCTGGAAAAAACAAGTCTGAATCGGAATGGACCGGTAAACTATTGTTCCATAAAATATATACTCCCTCCGTTTCAGAATGTTTGCCACACTTGGACTTTTCAACATTTAAGGGAATTTAACTTTTGAGCTAGAGTTTCCATAAATACCCTTAATGGGGAGGCGCGGTAAAAAAGTGTACGCAGCATACTTGACTGAATTCATCCATGTACTGTAGAACCATCAGTTCGTCTACAGTACTCTGAATTCATATTAAAGCCTAAAATAACATTACATTTCCCTCCTAAACATTACAATTCCCTCCAATACAACCTGAAATATTTCAAACACATCAGATTACATCTACAAATAGAAGTTCTCATTACAAACAAAACACTAAAAACCAAGAATGGAAGAAGCACGGTGATAGAGTATATAGACTCGGACCCCCGGGTCTCACGACTGTTGAACCCGGACAACGGCTCACATACGCTCAATAGATAGCATTTATTTCATTGTACACTCTATTTTATTCATGTATACCCGTTAGAATAGATTAAATACCATTTGTTAGCCATTTATTGACCTTTTATTGTAACTGGGCCTTCTAGGCCCAAGCCTGGAGGCCCAACCCACTTTTCTCCTATAAATACTCCCGGGAGCCATGTAAAGGATTTGAAATTCATTACATATATCACTTTATCTCTCTAGCTCTCCTTTCTCCCTAGGAGTTAATACTCCATCAAATGGTGCTTTCGTTGATGTATTCTAGCTCTCAATAAAATGATACTTTCATTGAGAGCTAGAATACATCAAGTAAGCTCCTCCAAAACAATGATCGGGGAAGCAGGTCCCCTCGGCCTAGAGGGCATGATGCCATCTCGGCTCCCTAGTAGCAAATTATTGTTGCTAGAAAACAACTGTGGATCAAAAGATGAAATTCATCTGGGTGGCCACCATCGTCCAAAAACTCTTCTTCGGCCAGAACAAAAGAAACACATCGACACCAGCAGAGGAAAGGCAGTTCCTCCGGCCAAACCTGAACAGAGGGTAGGACAGATTTTCTCGCCCTCATCCTCGAGACAATTAGCAGTGCGCCACCGGCCAGCAACGTATCATCTACCGCGACGCTTCATCGGCCAGCAGTGAACCTTCGGCCAACACTCCGCAACTCTGCCAAAATTCAAACAAAAGAAACACGAAGCGGAGAGCAGTACCTCCTTCATCCAGGGTCACCCGTCGCCATCCCCCCTCGGCAAAGCCTCACATCGGCCATGTCACCCCGGTCAAACGATTGAGGAGGACATGCTTCGGCCAAGCGATTGAATTAAACCGCTAACCCCTCATCACCACCAGTCTTCACTCTCGGCCAAGAAAGCGGACACCTCAAGCTATTCTTCGGCCGGACGGGACCCTCATCTTCCAGCAGCAAGTTGCTTCTCTTCGGCAAAAAAAACCCATCCGCTCGAACAGAGGAAAGGTGGCTCCTTCGGCCAAAGAGAACTCCTCGACGCCCTTCGCCTGCAACGGCTCCATCACCACACAGTGCCCCTCGGTCAAACATGAACATATGACAGCCTGGGAACACCTCGTCCGTCCAGGGTACCTTTGGCTAGAGTGCTGCCTCGGCCGGACTACAGCAATGGACTCCACAAAACCAGCACAGCTCCGATTTGGAAGAAATATCCAAAGCGCCTCACCACTTCTGCCAGACAATCAAGGACAGCACCTCGGCCATAACTCCTTCGTCCCAGTTTATCATCAGCGGCCAAACAAGCATACCACCGGCCGGAGGAGGCCCCTCGTCCACCTCGTCCTCCCTGGTTACCATCACCGGCCAGGTCGGCGGGCCCTCGGCTAGGGGACCCTCGTCGACCGCGTCGTCCCTGGTCACCATCGGCCCCAAATCGTGGAGCCGTCGTCCATGGCGGGACCCTCGTCCTTTCCGCTATCTTTGGTTAGCATCAGCCCTGAATGGCGGATCCTTCGGCCAAGATGGGACCCTCGTCCACCAGTGTGTTCAGCGCCTGGCCATGGACACTACGGCGACAACTTTTCCCACAATATTCCGGCGTGGACCACAGCTTTCGGCGTCCCAGTGCCTCCTCATTCTGCAGCAGCGTCGGAGGTCCCTGCCATCTATCCATCGCCTTGCGGTCTCTACGTCAAGAAGAGAAGATCTGTGGCTTATGTCTCCAACAGCTGAAATGGGCCCAATTGGGTTGGGCTGTGGGTGAATTTGGGTTAAGGAGGAAGTCCTTCACACCGAATCATTTTATTGCAGTGGCAACCCAAGACCAGATTCCCTAAGGACCAGGCCCAGTCCATCTTCGGCCAGCTGGGTTCCCAAAGAACATCAACTTCAGTCAAAAAATGAGCCAAGTGCCACGAATTTTCTTCTGCTTATGCATTAAATATGGAGCAAAATAGCTTTGCCACTATTAGAAAAAGAAGTTTTACTATTATTATTGTTGCCACCACCATTCTGGCCGGTTAAAATCTCCAAGGTGGTGCAACCGAAGCTCTAGTCTACTGAACATCTTTATTTGATGATTTGAATTATATTTGGGTCCCTCAACCTACCCTAGTCACCTTTATTTGGTGACTCGGGCATCTAAAAATGAGAGCCGCTACCGGCCGCACACGGCATTATGCCTAAAAGCGGTAAACGGTACATCTCGTTCTTCGAGACGCTAATCGCGTCGCCCAAAAGCCGTTGCCATGAACAACGCACCTATTGCATTCCGCTTATTTTTTGAAAATGTAAATAGAAGATACCACGTATCGTGTCAGCAACCTTAGAGCGAAAGGCTCAGGTATGCTCAACATTGTATTTCGTATCAGCCCCCCTTAGAGCGAAACGCTCAGGTCTAGCTGAGAGAGCACACCATTTCGGTCCCGTAGAGCGAGACGCTCGGGTGTGGCTGACGGTGTCCCCAGAACGAGGGGCCCGCAAACGGCCCGCGTCTTGAAATGGGAAGCTCACCGCGTCGTCCACGCGCCAGATCGCAGGACGACCAGTCTGAAATCATGGACGAGGTGACAAAATCCCCAAACTCGGGGTTGGGAAACGGCAGCCGTCGGATACCGACCAAAAGCCTAGTCCGCGTCATAAATAGGCGACAGGACCTCCCCGAGACCATAGGGCGATCTATACGACGCCCCACCTGCCGAGGGACTATCGACCCCCTCGACCGAAGCCTGAAAGAAGGACACTCCCCTAAATAGGGAATCGAAATAAGAGAGGGAAAGCCGAAGGGCCGCGCACTCGCCGGTCTTAAGCGAAATCCCCAAAAAAAAAGAAAAAAAGGGAAGCCGAGGACCGTGCACTCGTCGGCCTCGAGCGATGAAAAATAAAATCCCCACAAATCAAGCCACATATTTGGCTAAGTACATCTCAGACGAGCGCCCAGTGCCGTCCCTCATCTTCAGACGAGCGCCCAGCGCCGTGCCCCACCTCAGACGAGCGCCCAGCGCCGTCCTTCATCTCAGACGAGTGCCCAACGCCGTCAATCATCTCAGACGAGCGCCCAGCGACGTCCATCATCTCAGACGAGCGCCCAGCGCCGTCCCTCAGACGAGTGCCCAACGCCGTCCCTCATCTCAGACGAGCGCCCAGTGCCGTCCCTCATCTCAAATGAGCGCCCAACGTCGTCCCTCATCTTCAGATGAGCGCCCAACGCCGTCCATCATCTCAGACGAGCGCCCAGCGCCGTCCCTCATCTTAGACGAGCGCCCAGCACCGTCTCTCATCTTCAGACGAGCGCCCAGCGCCGTCCATCATCTTAGACGAGCGCCCAGCGCCGTCCCTCATCTTAGCCGAGCGCCCAGCGCCGTCCCTCATCTCAGACGAGCGCCCAGCGTCGTCCATCATCTCAGACGAGCGCCCAGCGCCGTCCATCATCTCAGACGAGCGCCCAGCGCCGTCCATCATCTCAGACGAGCGCACAGCGTCGTCCCTCATCTCAGACGAGCGTCCAAGCTTAGTCCATCATCGGATCGGCTCCGCCGTCGTTCATGTTCAGTCCAGCATCATCAGCTTGCCCTTCATCACATCACGACCGGTCCCTCAGCCTCGGCGTGATTATTTATCTCAAGACCGGCCTCCTCAGCGCCGAGAGTCTTAAGCTAGCGATTGGGCTCGCCATCCCTTCCTGGATGGTGATCGTCGCCTCTATATGACGGCCGGCTCATCATCGCCCCGTCATTGTATTTTGGATTGGCCCCTTCTCATCGCCATCTGAACATCACGACCGGCCTATCGGCCTCGATGTGATTATTTATCTCAAGATCGGCCTCCTCGGCGCCGAGAGTCTTAAGCTAGCGATTGGGCTCGCCATCCCTTCCCGGATGGTGACCGTCACCTCTATATGACGGTCGGCTCATCATCGCCCCGTCATCGTATTTCGGATTGTCTCCTTCTCATCACCATCCGAACATCACGACCGGTCTATCGGCCTCGATGTGATTATTTATCTCGAGACCGGTCTTAGTCATTCCTTTACCGGATGGCGACCGTTGCATGGATCTTCGGACCGGCCCTCAGTGCTTTCGTCCTCATATCACGGCTGGCCCCCTCGGCCTCGACGTGATTATTTATCTCGAGACCGGTCTTAGTCATTCCTTTACTGGATGGCGACCGTTGCATGGATCTTCGGACCGGCCCTCAGTGCTTCCGTCCTCATATCACGACTGGCCCCCTCGGCATCGACGTGATTATCTATTTCAAGACCGTTCTTAGTCATTCCTTTACCGGATGACGACCGTTGCATGGATTTTTGGACCGGCCCCTCATCGCCGTCGTCCTCACATCACGCCCGGCCCCTCGGCCTCGGCGTGATTAT